ATTTATGCAGCCAACAGACATATGAAAAAAATGCTTATTATCACTGGTCATTAGAGAAATGCAAATCAAAACCACAATGAGGTACCATCTCACACCAGTTAGAATGGCAATCATTAAAAAGTCAGGAAATAACAGATGCTGGAGAGGTTGTGGAAAATAGGAACCCTTTGACACTGTTGGTGGGAGTTTACGTAAACTAGTTCAACCATTGTGGAAGACAGTGTGACAATTCCTCAAGGATCTAGAACTAAAAATACCATTTGACCCAGCCATCCCATTACTGGGTATATACCCAAAAGATTATAAATCATGCTGCTATAGACACTTGCACACATTAGGTTTATTGCGGCACTATTCACAATAGCAAAGACTTAGAACCAACTCAAATGTCCATCAATGATAGACTGGATTAAGAAAATGTGGCACATATACACCATGGAATACTAAGGAGCCATAAAAAAGGATGATTTCATGTCCTTTGCAGGGACATGGATGAAGCTGGAAACCATCATTCTCAGCAAACTATAACAAGATCAGAAAATCAAACATCACATGTTCAGGTGGGAGTTGGACAACAAGAACACACAGACACAGGGAGGGGAACATCAAAAACTGGGGCCTGTAGGGGCTGTGGGGCTAGGGTAGGGATAATATTAGGAGAAATACCTAATGTAGGTGATGGGTTGATGGGTGCAGCAAACCACCATGGCATATGTATACCTATGTAACAAAACTGCACATTCTGCCCATGTAACCCAGAATTTAAAGTATAATAATAAAAAGAAAGATAAAGCATATGACTCACAGATCTCCACAGCCATCTCAGCTGAAGCCAAAAAACAGATATAGGATTCCCCAGGAAAGACCTGCCCAGAGCCTCTTGTTGGATGACATGAATATACATGACATACATGGGAGACTCACAAGATTCTTAAGAGTGGCATACTAGCATGACAGCTAGCTTGAGGCTGGGCGCGGTGGCTCGCACCTGAAATCCCAGCACTTTGGGAGGCTGAGGCAGGAGTTCAAGACCAGACTGACCAACATGGAGAAACCCTGTCTCTACTAAAAATACAAAATTAACTGGGCGTGGTGGTGCATGCCTGTAATCCCGGCTACTCTGGAGGCTGAGGCAGGACAATCGCTTGAACCCAGGATGGGGAGGTTGCGGTGGAGTGCCACTGCACTCCAGCCTGGACAACAAGAGAAAAACTCCATCTCAAAAACAAATAAACAAACAAAACAAAACAAAAAGCTAGCTTGAATTGAAAGGGATGGAGAGAAGCCTGTTGGACCCTCAAAATTCTACAGTCAGGAAACAGGCTGATGAAACTACTCAGCTGCAAACACATGCTACCCTTCAGGAAAAAGGAAAGTCAACTTTGAGGGTGGAATCATAAGCCCAGAGAGCAAAGCCTCAAGACTAGAGGATGAAGGCCTTGAAATTTAATGGAATGTGCATGGCTAGATTTTTGAAAATGCCTGGGACCTGTGACCCCTTTTTTCCTTTTAGTTTCTCCCCCATTCGAAAAAGAATATATATAATTAGTATCCTATGCTTGTCCCACCACTGTATTTTAACAGCAAAATACAAAAAAAGAAAATACATATCCTCAGATGTAGAGGAGTTTTGCCCGAAGATGTACCATACTCAGAGTATCGCCCTTATGTGATTTAGATAATGAGATTTGAGACTTTTTAGTTGATGACATTTACATGAAATTTTTGACCCTGCATTGATGCTGTAATGGGTGGAGACTTTTGGAAATGTTGGAATGGGGTGAACATATTTTGCATATGAGATGTAAGCGGAATCTGGGAGAACAAAGGGAAGACTGTGATAATGTTTACACAGCAAGTGGAAATTTAGGTTACTCATCAAGTTGACCTTAAGACAGAAAGAATATCCTGAATTATCCCATGTAATCACAAGGGACCTTAGAAGTAGAAGAGTGCAGCAGAAGAGTCAGAATCAGAGAAGATGTGATGACAAAAGTAAGGTCATCAGAGTGATGCAATATGAGGACTCAACCTGTCACTGCTAGCTTTGAAGGTGAAGGAAGAGGGCCATGGGCAAGAAATGCTGGTAGCCTCTATAAGCTGGAAAAGACAGGAAACTGGATTCTTCCCTAGAGCCTCCAGAAAGGAATGCAGCCCTGCCAATACCTCGATTAGAGCCCAGTAAGATCTGTGTAGGACATCTAACCTACAGCACGCTACTACAGTAAATTAGTATTGTTATCAGCCACTAAGTTATGTGGTAATTTGTTATGACAGCAATAGAAGACAATTTCTGTGGTTTATAGACAGAAGTTGAGTATCACTATATTTCCCTCAAAGATGTAAAATAACCTCATGGCTCTCCTATGATTTCATTATGTGTAGCTTAGCATGTAATTTAGGAATGATGGTTCTAGGACAGGGGTCAGCAAACTGGAGCCAAATCCAGCCCACTGCCTGTTTTTGTAAATAAAATTATATTAGACATAGCCATGCCGATTCCTTTACTTATTGTCTATGGCTGCTTTCATACTACAGCAAAATCGAGTAGTTGTGACCCCTTCCAGCCCTTTTCAGAAAAAGTTTGCCAACTGCTCCTCTAGGGTATGGCTCTACTCTACCCATTTAACTTGATTTGCCTTCACTCTAGTTATATCCCGTTATCTCTCCTCCCCATATTCTTACCAATTCTGAGTTCCTGTCAGTACCTTAGCTCATGCTACAATTCCATCTTAGAATTCCCTTTCCTCTCGAGAATGGCGTGAACCCGGGAGGCGGAGCTTGCAGTGAGCCGAGATCTGGCCACTGCACTCCGGCCTGGGTGACAGAGCAAGACTCTGTCTCCAAAAAAAAAAAAGAATTCCCTTTCCTCTCTTCCATGTCTTGTAACATGTGAGGCACATCTCAAATCATACTTTCTACCCAAAACCTTCCCCATCTCCTCTATCAAGGCATTTTCCCCATAACATGCTACTTAGGCTTTGATTGATCAAAGAGCTTTTTTATTGCTCACCAAATTACTTCATATATGTTACAATCTGTTTATACAAATGTCTGTAAGCTCCACAACTGTTAAAAGTGATATTACAGATGATTTATTTGTAGACATTCCAGCAGTATGATGGCTGGTATCTCCTTTATCATTTGCAGGTTTTGATATCTATAATATTCATAGGATGAGTTTGTTATAGCAGACAACCTTCTCTAATCCCTCCCTTAAATTCCTGTTTTTTTAATTTAAATACCTTTTCATTTTATATAAAATAAATTGAATAAAAAAGGGCAAAGGTGCCAGAATTGGCACAAGAGTTATGCAAATTTGTTATTCTCAAAAGACTACACGCAGAATAGTATACTAGTTCTCTGTTTTTAATAAAGTATGTAGCAGATGTTATGCTAAGTCAGAAATCCTGTGTGTTCAACTGAATAAATCTACTGTCTACAGACTATCTCTAACTGATCCACTGCAATCACCTCATCATACCAAAACTAGACATCAAAAGCCAAAGGTCTAACGCCTGTAAAATGTTAAAGGTAGATTTGGGGGGTTGGTGGCAAAGATGATATAGAAAGATGTTAAATAATTTTTAATATCTAACATTTGAATTTCACAAATCTTAATTATTTAGGTAGTCATCAGCAATTCACTATTCTTTTCATTCAACTGAAACATAACAACTTGACTCGGATACTTTTGTCAAACTAATGTCATTCCTAAGTTTTCACTCCTAAGAGTCAAGTCCTGGCCAAAGATTTCCATTATGGGCCAGATTTATATTTAAATGACCATTTTACTTAGACTGAGGGCAGGTAGTTGTCATAACCACTGAGTAGCCCAAGTGACCATGAACCAATTACCCTGAAATTAATTTGGAGTTGCCATTCCAATAGTTATCTCTCTCAAACAATAAACCTAAAATTCTTGTGGTTCCAGACAAATTAAGATACAAGACTTGACTTCATTACGGTCTGGGCACAAAACAAAAGAGATTTCGGAAATTTCTTTTCTCCCACTCTAAGAAAAATATTTGCTACTGAGACTTCAAGGAAAATGACAGCAAATGTCCTCATGCCTTCTTTCTCCAGACTCCCAGAATACCCCTTATCCTTTTCTGCGCTTACAGATACTTCCCTCTGCTTAGAATGTCCTTCCTCTACTGTACACCTAGAAAACTTTTCCTTCATGTTTAATCTCAAATATAATCTGCTTTGTGAAGCCTTCCCTGACTCCCTTAGGCATATTTAAAGTTCTCCCTGCTTTGCACATATCCCCTATTAAACAATTATAAGTATTTAAGTTTCTTATTTGCATACATATTTGTTTATAGGTGTCGAAGGGTCTTATTTTTCATCCTTAGTACCTGGCACATAGAAGCTGTCTCATAATACTTAATGAAATAAAACTCATTTCCCTCTCGACATTTTTAAAACAAACTATTCTAACCTGGCTTTAAAAACTCCTTTCTTTGTCTTCTAAAAATATCCCTACTGGTTCAGCCATAATGTCGAGTTCCTTTCAGATTCTTACCTGTTTGCTTGCCCTATTAAATCTAGATGCTTTAAAGAAAGCACGTCTTTCCTGCTGTTCCACCACTTTGCTCTAAATCTGTTCACTGGCTTCAAGAAAAATTTTTGGAACAAATTTCAATCTGCTTTTTTTTACCCAATGTATTCCATAACTTCAGATCCATTCATCTGTTTCCATTAAGATCAATTCCAAAGCTTTTCATTTCCCCAGAAATCTTTTACCAAATTACTCCTATGCTCTTTGCATAATTTCTAAAGGTAAGGTTTATCTCAACAAGACTCCATATATCATTCAGCAAAATTTAAATTTAATTTAAAATGAAATCATTTTATCTCTAATCTTAGAAAACATATTTGAAGTAATTCTCAGTTAACTTATTTAGCAGGTTTTTAGAGATGGTTTTAGAGGCTTTGGAGAATAGAATCACATCTGAACAAACTAACGGAAGCACCTCAGGTTGGGAGTGACTCACCGGTACTCCTTGGTATACTCAAAGTCTTGTTTGTTGTAGGCAGGTTTTAGGAAATTGCACTCAATGACTCCAATTACTCCTACACCTTCTCCACGAGTTGGCTTAGAAGAAAATATTAATTTCAACACTTACATTACTGTTGGCTGCCTGCAGGCATTTCCTTTTGATTCCAAACAATAATAGAAAGGTTACATAACGTTCATGAGCAAGAAAAGACCATCAAGATCTAGAGAAACACTTAGAATGTACATCAACAGACTGCAAGCATTAAACTGAACTAGAAATTCTGACAAATTCTAGGGCAGAGATTTTCAAAATATGATCCATAGATCACTAGGAGTCTTCAGCAATTAGTAGCCATCTCTACTTCACCCACACTACCTCAACTTTTATCTGCTTTATATTCCAGGACTACCATAAGACTGCATTTGAATAAAGAATTACCGTGCTAAAAAACCAAGGTTATATACTACTGTTCTAAGGAACTGAAACAAATATTCATCTGAAAACAATTTTAGGGGTGCTATGTGATCCTATATTAAAATAAACAATTCTCCCACATACATAGGCCACCAAACAACTACTAAAGAGAGTCACACAGCAATTATTAATTACAAGTTGATGCAAGAGTTTCATAGATTTAAATTATATTCTAATTCTTTAACGGAAGAAACCGAGTAAAGGTGTAATTAGACTGGCACACAAACATGAGTTGTCTAAAGGTGCTATAACAAGGAAAAACAAAATAGGCTGAAAATGAGTTATCCTGGGCTTTATATAACTGTCTTACTATGATGAAGCAGTTCATCATTTTTGTGCGTTAGCAATCTTATCTGTAAAACAGGAATAAAAGGGATACTTGTAGACATTGCTACTTTAAATAATCATTAAGACATTAAAGATGATGGTAAAATTTGTATAGAGTGGTTTAAAAAATATTTTCACATAATTTATCCCATTTAAATCTCTCAACCCTGTAAGCTGCGAGGTAGGCAAAGCAGGTATGTTTATTATTGTTGTTTCCACTTTATAGGTCAGGAAATTGATCCTCAGATAAATTAAACAATTTATCCAAGGTTACACAGTTTGTAAATGGAAAATTCAGGACCCAAATCCTGGTCTTCAACCACCATATTTTATATGCCTTTCACTACGCCTTATTGTCTTCCCAAGAAAATGGAAAGAGTTACCTAAAACACAAATAAGCTGAGACACATGGTAAACTTGCTGGTATTCTCATTCTGCCTCTTAGTAACAGCTACTTAGAAAATGCATTCAGTAAAGTTGTTGGGTTGATTAACATCTGAAGAATGAGAGGTAGAAAGAGTTTTTCAACACAAGACAGCTCACTGGTAACACAATTCCAGGATCAGAATTCAATAAGCATCATAAGATGGGAGTAAAAGCCATTAATGAGCCTATCCCCTTTGCAAATTTTAAATTCTCTTCCTACTCTTTTCAGCCTCCTATGACAAAGAAATATTAACCACTCACCTTCACCTGGCACCCCACCTTCTCAAAGGATTTTATGAGTCGGTTGTTATGATACATCATTATTCCAAACTGGTTACTATTCTTGCAAGAGAACCCAAAGGTGATTCTCACCTGCTTATTCTGAGAAGAACATTGTTAAGGAGACAAACATACCAGGGACTTCAACAATAAATTTTGCACCATATTATAGAAAAACCATCAAATACCAAGGGACATAAATTGGTACAACCTTTTGAGAGGGCATTTAAACACCTGTTGCAATTGCTTTGAGAATATTCTTAATATTCGACCAAGTAATTATCTTTTAAAGAATTTATCCCACAGAAACAGTCAGGGAGGCCCACAAAGGTTTAGGAATTACAGAGATTTTTCAATTTGTTATAAAAGCAGAAAAACAGAAATAATTTAAATGTTCAACAATAAAGAAATGATTAAATAAATGCTGATACAGCTACATGCAGCTCTTTTAAAATTATGCCCTTGAAATATGTGAGAATATCAGGAAATGCTCAGATTATAAAAACATCACACACACACACGCACACACACCACACACACACCACACACACGCACAGAAAGACTGTAAGAAAAGATACCTAAACACCATCAGTGATTATAAAATTGACAAATAATCACAAAACATTTTTTAGCCCTTGCTAGTTGCTCAATTTGCTGCTAGGGCTCATAGGTTCTGATAAGAGCTGTAAATGGGCCAATACGAAACTGTAAAATTATATCCAATAAAGTAAATCTTCTTACCATACCAAACACAATGAAAGCAAAAGCAAAAGTAAAGAACAATGAATAGTCCTGTAGTGATACATCTCATGGGAAGAAGTTAACAAGCTTGGATAAATGAAATGAAGACAACTGATTATTACAAGTAAAATATGAATAATGATGAGTTTTTAACAGGTCCTACTTAATTTAAAAACCGAGGTAAGTAAGTGAGAAAGATAAAGGGGAGACAGAGAAACTGAGATTTTCATTAAAACAAATTCTAAGAAACCTTCATGTCTAAATGAGTCAAATGAAAATTTACTTTTGTCACTTATTCAAAAAATGATCTCCATGCCCCCTTTAAAAGAAAAGCTACTTGCATCAAAACCCTATAACAAATGGGTCACATATGACACAAAGACATGACTCAAGTGGGTGCATAACACAGTAATGTTTGGCTCAGAATATATAATGTTCTGGACTCTAGCAGTTCACATAAAACCTCAAATAAGACCTATTCTAATGCAAAAACAAAACAAGACAAAACTCCTGCAAGCAAACAAACCAAAATCCTATGCCATAAAATTAACTTTGTAAAGATAAAGATTGTCAAATTTTTCTTTCTGTTGTGCACTTTTAAAATTTCAAATTATGGAGTGAGGGTACACTGGGGTAGGAGACTTGCCATATTAGTGCAAGGAGACAGAACAAAGACGAAAGAAGTGGACTTTGATAATTGAGAAGTAAGTAAGTTAGTATCAATGATCTTGTTCCTCAGTGACCTTGGGGGAAATTTTATTAGGACTTTCATTTTACCCATGCCTAAAGTAAATCTGTTTAGTCCAAACTATAATATTGGAAGGTAATTTGGTTTAATGAGAAGGGAGTCTGAGAAGAGCTGAGGTAACATATAGAATGCAGGCATAAAAGTTTCCCAGACAGAAACCCACAAAAGAAAAAAGCTAGAGACAGTATGTGTTATATCCTAAAACAGTAGTTGGAAAGCATTTCTTTAGACTGGCTCTGTTAAACCTATGGTACTAATATCCTAGTCTACATATGGTGAGATTATAACTAATTCACCTATAGAAGCAAACAATGCTAGCTCTGGCTTTATTAAATTGATTTGTTTAGTGCTTTAAGAAAACATTCCTAGTAGCCAAGATATGTGTTTCCAAAAAGGAGAAAAAAGAGACCAACGATTTCTCATTTTTGGTCAGGGAAGGACAAAGCATGCTAGATAATGCCTTTGATAAAGCAAATAGAGTGTGAGCATGTTTCTCAGGCCAAGAGTTGTGCTTAGTTACTAGAAAATAAATTAAAAGGTCAATTTTTCATAATCTTGCAAGTTTTCAGCCTTCCAAAAACATTTTCTGCCCCAAAAGCCATCAACGAAATTGTACCTAATATCCACAGTTCATCTTAAGATTTTTTTCTAGTCTCTGAAATCCATTCTCGATGCAATGCGGGGGAGAGGTAGAAGTAAAAAGCAATGGCTCCTCTGAGTGGCTACCATTATGAGAAGTACCAGGAATTTATGTCAAACCTAAGAAGATTTATTTCACTCTAGAAAATCAACTTTTAATTTCCACTTTCCTAACTTCAATCAATGTAAGTCTGGACCTGTTACAACAAAAAATTGCAGTGTATCTACAAGATTAAGAAGTTCTAGTCAGTATTTTGCTTATTTCAGTAAATTTAATATATATCAAAATCCCAGTACAAACCAAATGATGTGTATTATTCCTTACAGTAGAGATTCTCAAACCTGGCTGCTCATTAGAATCAGCTGAGGATTTTAAAATAATAAATATTTCTTATTTTTTTTAAAAAAGGTTTCAGACACTACTGAACCAGAATCTCCAGTCTCAGGATTCTATTATTTCAACAGTTTCCAGGTGATTTCTGATAAAAATGGTACGTAGATTGGCATTTAAGAAAGACTTCCTCAGAGTACACTATAATAGAATGTGTACTATGACATATGCTTTTGAATTGGAAAGGGAAAGTTTTTGTTTTTCTGTGTCAACCTGAAAACTTAATCCTGAAATAAAGAGGTCAACTTCATGTAGTGGTATAGTTGTAAGGATACTGTGAAGGTAGGTTTATATGTATCATATTCTACATTGGCCAGGCTCTTGGCAATCATCTGGGTAGTCACCTTCTTTTGACGCAGAAAAATTTTCATCCGTGGCTTCATGTATAGAATACCACAAAATGCCTGTGGAATAGAATGGTGAAGGGAAAGTTATGTGATATTGCCAATTCTGCTGACATCCCCATAAAACACTGCTATCACCTGATTCTATGCTGGGCAAAGATTTGGCTCCATTTCTATACCTTCTTACACTATGTAAACTACCACACTAAGGTACTGTTGACTATATTATCTAAACTGTCTCAACGGAGACAATAAAAAGGAATACTAGCACATGGCTGGAGGGTTGTCATCTTTGTATAACTAAAAGAAGATCTTGTTCTATAATATTTTCAGGTTATAGGAAATCTTACCTCTCATTGTTGAAAAACCATTCTTACTTACCCTTAAAGAATATTCTGTTTCTGGCAGCTCAGAGGTAATACCGCCAGTCATTTTTTCTTCTGTGTCAAAGTCTGATACCAGGATGTCATATTGATCTGTATCAAAGTCCAACTCAGATTTTCCATTTTTATTTCTGGGGAAAACAGACAAGTACCAATCTAACAAAAACTGGCTCCAAAGGACAAAAAATGCACTAGGAACCCAAAAGAAAAAAAACAATATGAGCCAAAACTCAGGTATCTGTTTCCTTCCCTGACTACCAGTGCAAAGGAACTACAAACCACTTGGGTGGAGGATCATATGATACTTAAGGGTATTCCCATTCTAAACAAATCTACTTTTTCATAGAGGTGATGATGCCACATTCCTAAGAAAAAAAGAACGTGGAATGTCTATGATCTGATAAATCAAATGGATGTCAGCTATCTTCAAAGTGGGATCTTAAAATAGACACAAGCTTTCTAGGTATTGTTAGTAAGTCACTCAACATCATTTTCCCCAACTGAATGAACAGATGAATCAAAACCCACTTCTACCAACTTCAAACAAAAAAGATACTAACATCTCCCCAGATCTAATCCTATTTCTTAAAAGGAAAAAAGATTGTTATAAAAGCCGCATATATTTACTAGTCCTCTAGGATACCATTTATAGAATTATCATTTACACATAATGGTACTAATATTCCTTTCATAAGGAACTTTCTTCTTCCCATAATCTTTTTGGGCCACTTGGTTTTGATCCATTCCAAGACCCTGAGCTATATCACTAACCACTGCCGGGAAAAAAGGTTAAGACCCATCTTAATCCTTGAAAAAAACTCAAATGACAGGTTTTAGAGAAAACATATATATCAGAACAGTAGTTCCCAAAATTTATTCTGTGCAACAGTAATCTCACAAGATACTCTTAAAAAGTACATAAAATAAAATACATAAAATACATAAAAGTTCTAAGATCAAATAAAATTGAGAAATAATTCTTAGCCCTCAGAGTCACCTCGAGCTCTAGTGATAACTCTGCTTCATACTTCAGGCTCTGTAAGCTCAGAGCTGCTGTGTTGAAATTGTAGCTCCTTTTATAGGGCTGCACCAGAGCCATTATGGTCTGTCTGCATCATGTCCATGTCAATGTATGATAGCATATTATGGATTTTCCAGGATAATTCTGATTCTCACTACTCCACCCGACCCCAAGGCATATGCCCTGAGGAGATTCTCTGTCTTCCTTGTCCCTCACCTTCCCCATCTAAGGAAAAAAGGTCTGTAGAAACATTTTCGTTAGAGACAGGGTCTTGCTCTGTTGCCCAGGCTGGAGTGCAGTGGCATGATCATAGCTCACCATGGCCTCCAACTTCTGGGTTCAAGCAATTCTCCCATGTTGTTCTCCCAAAGGTCTGGGTTTAGAGGTGTGAGCCACCACCCAACCTAAAGAAATACTTTTTCAAAATTGATTGGGAAACACTGCATAGTATATAGCTCTTTTACATATTTTCAACATACATTAGTATATTAAAGTACTCCAGGACCCTCAGAAGTCCTACAATAAAGCAACACAGTAAACCTTAAGTCAGCTTTTCCCAAATTTATTTGACCATGTAATCCTTTATTTATACAGGTTGAGTATCCCTTAACTGAAATGTTTGGGACCAGAAGTGTTTTGGATCCTTTTGGATTTTGAAATATTTGCATTATACTTACTGGTTGAGCACCCCTAATCTAAAAATCCAAAATCCGAAATGTTCCAATGATCATTTCCTTTGAGTTGTCATGTCTGTGCTCAAAATGTTTTAGATTTTACAGCATTTCAGATTTTAGATTTTTGGATTAGGGAAAGTCAACCTGTATAGCACCTAGTACCATACACATAACTGGGAAATGACATAAAAAGAAAAAGTTCTGTTTAAGATATGTAAATCACTGTAATACCTCAAAAAATTCTTTGTAATACAAACTATATTACTTGAGGTTTTCTCAGTAGGACACAGCGAGGATCTAAATTACCAATGTGTGAGTCACACTTCTTTTAAGTACAGTACTCTCTATATAAACCAGCATTGTTTTTATTTGTTTTACCCAGGTAAATGAGACAAAATACTTCACCTAAGGAGAAAAGGATGAAGAAATGTATCTGATAATCTTTTCTATTAGGCATATCAGTAATACCTCTATTTTATATTAAAGGTTTTTAGGGTTTTTTTTTAGTATTTAAGTGTTAATCCATTCTTTTTTCTTTTTTGAGATGGAGTCTTGCTCTGTTGCCCAGGCTGGAGTGCAGTGGCACCATCTCCACTCACTGCAAGCTCTGCCTCCCGGGTTTACGCCATTCTCCTGCCTCAGCCTCCCGAGTAGCTGGGACTACAGGCGCCCGCCACCACGCCTGGCTAGTTCTTTGTATTTTTTTAGTAGAGACGGTGTTTCACCATGTTAGCCAGGATGGTCTCGATCTCCTGACCTCGTGATCTGCCCGTCTCAGCCTCCCAAAGTGCTGGGATTACAGGCTTGAGCCATAATCCATTCTTAAATGTATTCCATTAGACATGCTAAGATTAAAAAAATGAAATACCATAAAGTATTTCTAGATTGTTTTATTAGTTTTGAAGACATGATCTTAACCTAGTCTCATTATAGTTCATATTTATGTGCTTCAAAGATTTTTTTCTACTTCTCTCCTTTTTTTTTTTTTTTAAGAGACAGGGTCTCACTTTGTTGCCCAGGCTGGTTTCAAATTCCTGGCCTCAAGTGATCCTCCTGCCTTGGCCTCCCAAAGTACTGGAATTACAGGTGTGAGCCACCATGCCTGGCCAGATTTTTCTACTTCTAATCCAGCTACTGTGAAAGCACTAATATAGAAGTTGTTATTTTTTAAAGATCTTACTGTATTTTGTTTGCTCTAATTTTTCTTTCTCATGCTTCATTGTCATTGTCTAATAAGTAAAATAACTATCAATTACCAAACATAAAAAAATGCCTATTGGCCAGGCACGGTGTCTCACTCCAGTAATAGAGGCTGGGGTGGGTGGATCACTTGAGGTCAGGAGTACAAGATCAGCCTGGACAACATGGCAAAACTCCGTCTCTACAAAAAATATAAAAATTAGCCAGACGTGGTGGCACACATCTGTAATCCCAGCTACTCGAGAGGCTGAGGCACAAGAATCACTTGAACCCAGAAGGTGAAGGTTACAGTGAACCAAGTTTCCACCACTGCACTCCAGCCTGGGCAAGAGAGACTCTGTCTCATTAAAAAAAAAAAAAAAAAAAAAAAAAGTGCCCATGAATGTGAAACATATTTATAAAGGATTCTGAGGAGCTTAGAATATGCTAAACTGTCCTAATTATCTGTGGCAATAGCCTCAGGATATGTGTGTTTCCACCTTAAACATACCACATTTTACCAACAAGAACCACTATCTCAAACAGAACTGTTTTCCTTTTTCTTTTTTTTTTTTTTTTTTTTGAGACGGAGTCTCACTCTGTTGCCAAGCTGGAGTGCAGTGGCGTGATCTCGGCTCACTGCAACTTCCAACTCCTGGGTTCAAGTGATTCTCCTGCCTCAACCTCCCAAGTAGCTGGGACTACAGGCGTGCACCACCACACCCAGCTAATTTTTGTACTTTTTTTTTTTTTTTTAATAGAGACGGGGTTTCACCATGTTGGCCAGGATGGTCTCAGTCTCTCAACCTCGTGATCTGCCCACCTCAGCCTCCCAAAGTGCTGGGATTACAAGCATGAGCCACTGCACCCAGCCAGAACTCTTGTTTTTCTAAGACGAAGTTACATAAAAGTATGCAATGAGATATAAATATGTATCAAAATTTATCTACTTTGCTTCTCTAAAAAGAGTTATTAAAATGTGCTAGGCCAAGTGCAGTGGCTCACACTCGTAATCCCAATAATTTGGGAGGCTAAGGAGGGAATATCGCTTGAAGCCAGGTGTTCGAGACTAGCCTGGGCAACATAAATGAGACCCTGTCTTTCTATAAAAATTTTGAAAGTTAAAATTAAATAAAAATGTGTTTCATCATACTACCTTTGTTTATTAGAAGCTATCACCTTCGTAATACTATACCTGCGGATGTTCCAAATGAGAACACGAGTGCCTTTTTTGCCTGGGATGGCATCAAACTGGGCCAGCAGGTCATTTTCACTGTTGAAAATGGAATAGTTCAAGATGGCTTCTAGGCTGGGCAATGAATCCTCGGTAACAATCATTTTTTGTAAAATCAAATATAGTCAAAGAAAAAAATAATATCTTAGGATGCTATTGAGAAGGAAGATCTGCCCTTTGGGTTGCATATTTAGACAAAACTACAGACATAAAGCATGCATATTACTGCTATAGAAAGAAGAAAGGTGAAAAATGGAGAAAGGTTATAGAGACAAGCTCCAAAATCAGTTGCCCATGCAGAATATAGCTTCAAAGATATAATGTAAACAAAGTCTTATATTTAAAAGCAAAGATCAAAGGCTTAAATTTTTAACTTCTTCGGAAGCAATAAGTTAAAACCTTATTGCTATACTGTTCCAGTCAAGACAACCAGGTGTCTAACAGAAGTAACAGCTGTGCAGATATAGGGAAATGACTATTCTGCTATTATATAAGCTGATAAACAGTACGTTTCTAGGCGTATCAATACAAATGTAGCTATCCTTTGTGGGGGGAAAAAAGGCAGGCCCCGGGAGCTTTACCATGGGATGGTGGTAGAGCAGACACATACCATATAGATCAAACTGTGTAACAATGAAAATTTCAATACAGCAAAAACATTTCTAAGCTTCTGTCAATGGTCTTATTTTTAAAATATTTAATACAGAAAAATCCCAGTTAAATTTAAGACATTTGAATACCTCTTTTAAAACTTCTGATAGTTGGATTTGACCTGAAGAGGTTCCTATCAAAACACTCAGATTGGACTAATCTTTAACCAACATTCTCCATTTCCAGAAAGGATATTGTTTTGCTGGTTGAATGGAACAATTGGTACAATAACTGCCTGGGCCTGGACACATTCCAGATAGGTCTGTGACAGAAGTCCAACAGTGAGAGTACCCCCATTCTTGGTGAAGACAAGGGCGTCCTTTCCTAGCCGCATGGAGCCTGACTTGAAACCATTACCAAAGACCCCAATGGGACACTGGCTCTTCTTTATTACTTTATCTGTAAAGCCAAAGCTGCAATTACAGAAGAAAAAACAAATCAGAAAAAAAGAAATCAGAATGGTAAACAGCATCCTAAGATAGGTGACAGGCAGAATATTTGGCCTACAAATAAATAACACTTGTAAAAAGTCCCTCCTTTTTTATTCCTTTTGGTATTTATGGGCAAAACTATTAGGTTAAAAACACAGGAAATTACTATGGGGTAATGGGACTAATTTTTCTGTGTGGTTTGTGTGTACATAAATAGTTCCATTACGTTAGAGTCACACTTTATAAAAGTAAAAAAGGGCCCCTTTCCACCAGCTAACATAGCTGGAAAAGGCCTGGGAAGCTGCCTTTCCTGTCTAGATAAAACAGCTCTGATTGCTGTAGAAGCAAAGTTAGGGTAAGGTGAAAAGGGTAGTTATCTAGAGAGGGTAACAAAAGTTTCAGATATTGTCATTGGTCAGAGGTACTAGATTAGGCATCTCCTAACCTGTTTATATCATCCTCTAGAAATCTGAAAGTCAGGGATCATATATCTTGACAATTTCAACTCTCCACTCAAAGGATAATCCTTCCAATTCTTAGTCTCTGTTCCATCTGCTGGGACAGTTCATTGGAATGTGGCCAAAGGATAAAAATAGGTAGTTCTGCCTCTGAATATCAGCAAACAGCTGCAGTATAAAGTCTCTCTTGCTCTATTAAGGACCTTTCACTTAGGCACCTCGACAATCTCTGTAGTCCATTTTGATCAGCTTAATCTGGAAGCCAGAACCTTTCCCTTTCTTGTATTTTCCATTCAGGTACACACCAAAATAACAGAACTTTAAAAACTAAAAATTAAATGATTACATATCTTCCCTCATCATCAATAAAACTAATTGTAAGGATTGTTTCTCAGGATGAGGAGGAGAAATGAATAGAGTTTGGTGAATGAGTACAAAACTTATAGTTAGATAGAAGAAAAAAGTTCTAATGTTCCAGAGCCCAGGGTGACTATAATTAGCAATAATACATCATATATTTCAAAGTAGCTAGAAAAGAGGACTTCCAATGTCACCAACATATAAATTCTCAAGGTGATGAAAACCCCAAACACCCTCACTTGATCACTGCACATTCTATACATGTATAAAGTATTCACATGTACCCCATAAATATGTAAAATATTAGGTATCAATGAAAGAAAAAAATCATACTAAAAAGGATTGTTTCTCTCCAGACTGACTAATTTTACAATGTTGTGCACTACCATTCATTCAATAAATATTTAAACTAAGCACCTACGATGTGCCATGCATTGGGCTAAGCACTAGAGACAATTGTTAATAAAAGAGACATGATTTTTGCCTTCAGAGTTTATAATCTAAGGAAGGACTTCATATATTACAGATTAGGTGCTTCTCAACATCAATAAAATAGATACTCTGAGCAGACCATGACTGAGCAGGCTGATCTTTAACAATTTTACTCTTTTGAGCATGGAGAGCTGAGGTATCTGATTTCTACTTCCTGAAGGCTATGGTTTTGTGTTTACTCACTAGGAAAGGGAACTACCTTTTAATTTGCTATTTCAAAGCATTATACAGTAATACCATATGTCCTCCTAGAGTAAACACTTTATAGGAGCTGTGTGTATCGCACAAATAAATCTAGTGACAGAAAAAGGTAATTTCCACGGCAGCAGTCTGTTGGAAAAAAAAAAAGAATATTCAGTCTGTGTTGCCTATGGGCCTTAGTATTCCAGGATATAGACTTGTAATAGTAAGATTCAGGCATTCCCATTCTTCTTGTGGAAGAATTGGCTTTAAAAAAAAAAAAAAAAAAAAAAAAGTTTGTTATGAGGATTAAATTATATACTGTATGCAAAATACATTAAGTATAAAGTAGCATTCAAACATTAATTTTAAACTAACTCTAGAAGTCATTCTGATAGTTGTCATGTGCTATCCCCTACTCCTACTTCAGACCTAAGATCACATCTAAAACTCAGGGCTCTTCATAAATAGTAATCTTACACACCACTTCAAATGAATTTGTATGGTTAACCGGACTTTAACTTTCTCTTATACCACAAAAGCTTCAATTAGGTGATCAAGGGAAAGTGGTGAAAATAGGGAGATTACAACTCCCTTTAATTTTTAGCCTCTTCCACCATCTATCACCTCTTTTTCCCTTTGAAAGTATAAACCCTCACTGTGTTAATTTGGGGAGACCAAATGATGATACAAGGTTGAGAAGATAACCAGTAGCATGAGGCTAGAACCAGAATGGAAAAGGATAAGAAAAATGAGAAGAGAGGAGCTGTAAACTCTGGATTTTTGTTGTTGTTACTGTGTTTCACTTAACTCTTCCTGTGTGCTCTTTTATTCCTCCTAAGTTCTCATGTTAGGCATTCCATTTAAATGCAAACTGGCAGAATGAATGCCAGGTACCAATCAAATAACTACCTAACACAAAAGCCCTCACCACACATAATAGAATTGTAGGAATGAATATAATAGTTTGCTATAGCTCAGTAATATTTTCCACAGAGCTAACTTGGCTCAGGTGGTTTCTATTTGCTAAGTCAGTCCTGCTGTATCCTCTCATGTAAGAGACAACACTGTTTACACATCAAGGTGGCTTGGATACCAGCACTTTTAGTGGAATTCAAAACTACAGCAGCTTGCTCTGGAGTATCTTAAAATGTCAAGAATCCAGAATCCAGAGAGGTAAATTTAAATTGGGACTCTGCAGTGACACGTGTTTACCTATGTAACGAATCTTCACGTGTACCTCCAAACCAAATACAAAAGTTAAGAAAAATAATAGATAAATAAATAAATAAATAAGGACTCCGGGAAATGAAACAAACCTTGGCAAAATCCATGGGCGCACAAAGGCAGGCACTGCTATTTCCTAGGTATTTTTGTGATTTAATATGTAATATAAAAGAATGAAAGCGTGCTAAGCAGACTGTTATTCTCCAGCTATTGTTTTAGAAGAATATACCCGCTAGGAAGTGCACTTCTGAGCACAGGTAGCAAATACCCTCTGTGGTTCTGTGGTTGTTTTTAGTCTTTGAACTTTGAAAGCGGTTTCTCACCTTGCTTGAAAAAGGCAGCTGAATATACAGACTAACTGATCCACACACTAGCCCCAGAAGGTAAAGATAATTAGTTTGGACCTTAAAGGAATTTAATAATAGGTTTTTCCTTTTTAATTTGATTTTCATGAAATTCTATGTTTATGGAAGAAACTGTTCCTACAGTTACACAACTATTTTATCAGTCTGAAAACAGAATTGCATAAAGAGTTGGAAAGTGTGGACAGGGTAACAACAAATGTTAGAGGTCAAACAGAACTTCTGTAGGCTTAATAAATTTGCATAATTACTTCTATTATTTTTTCCAATTACAAAAGTAATATGCCTTCAAATAAAAAACAGCGCCAGGCACGGTGGCTCACACCTGTAATCCCAGCACTTTGGGAGGCCAAGGCGGGTGGATCACTTCAGGTCGGGAGTTTGAGACCAGCTGACCAACATGGTGAAACCCTGTCTCTACTAAATATACAAAATTAGCCAGGCATGGTGGCACATGCCTATAATCCCAGCTACTTGGGAGGCTGAAGCAGGAGAATCACTTGAACCCAGGAGGCAGAGGTTGCAGTGAGCCAAGATCGTACCATTGCACTTCAGCCTGGGCAACAAGAGTGAAACTCCTTTAAAACAAAAAAAACAAAAAAAAAAAAACAAAAAAAAAACAGAATCCTTCCGGCTAGGCATGGTGGCTCATGTCTGTAATCCCAGCATTTTGGGAGGCCGAGGTGGGACCATTCTAGCTGCCAACATGGTAAAACCCCGTCTCTACTAAAAATGCAAAAATTAGCTGGGCGTGGTGGCATGCACCTGTAATCCCAGCTACTCGGGAGCCTGAGGCAGGAGAATTGCTTGAACCCAGGAGGTGGAGGTTGCAGTGAGCCGAGACCACGCCACTGTACTCCAGCCTGGCGACAGAGCAAAACTCCATCCAAAAAAAAATGTAGAATCCTTCGCTAGAAGTTAGGATTGGACTAAATAATCTTTTATTTTTTATTTATTTATTTATTTTTGAGACAAGGTCTCCCTCTGTTGCTCAAGCTGGATTACAATGGCACAGTCTCAGCTCACTGCAACCTCCGCCTCCTGGGTTCAAGTGATCTTCCCACCTCAGCCTTCTGAGTAGCAGGGACTGCAGATGCATGCCAAAATGTTCAGCTAATTTTTGTATTTTTTTTGTAAGAAGGGGGTCCCCCTGTGTTGCCCAGGCAGGTATCAAACTCCTGGACTCAGGCGATCTGCCTGCCTTGGCCTTTGGAAATGCTAGAATTATAGACATGATCCACCATGCTTGGATTTAAATGATCTCTTTTAAATAAATGGTATCTTCACCAGGCATGGAGGCTCATGCCTGTAATCTCAGCCCTTTGGGAGGCCAAGGCAGGCTGATCACTTCGGGTCAGGAGTTTGAGACCAGCCTGGCCAACATGGTGAAACCCTGTCTCTACTAAAAATGCAAAAATTAGCTGGGCGTGGTTGTACCTGCCTATAATCCCAGCTACTCGGGAGGCTGAGGCAGGAGAGGTGTGTGAACCCAGGAGGTGGAGGTTGCAGTGAGCTAAGATCATGCCATTGCACTCCAGCCTGGGGGACAAGAGTGAAACTCCGTGTCAAAAATAATTTTTTTTAATTAAAAAAAAAGGTATCTTCTAGCTGATTCAAGTTTGTTTCAAAATACAATCACAAATAAACAAACTTGAATCAGCTAGAAGATACCTGAGATTATTTTTTAAATAGGAGGAACAATTGCCCAGCTCAAATTGGTGGGAAACATATTTGGTATGATAGGGAAAATTCTACAGCTAAGAAAGTTTCTGCCTATTTTGCTCCTTGGGGAGGGAACAAAAAATTTGAATGGGTGATACTCATCCTTCATATTTCAATTCAAATGTCATTTCTTCAGGGGAGCCTTTTTTTAACTCTCTAGACTAGATTAGATCCCTGTTATATGCTCTCAAAGAAACTGTGCTCTACCTTCATAGCACTTACCACTGGGTGGAATAGCCTATTTAGTTATATTACTAGTCAATGTTGTTCTTTCTCACTAAGCTGTCAGCCAAGAATCATGTCTATCTGATTCACCACTTTATCTCCAGTGCCTTGCACACAGGTGCTCAATAAAAATTTGTTGAATGAATAAATGAATGAATCTGGAACAAAAACTGTGGCAATTATTTTGAAACCATTCTTCTCCTTTCTACCTTATAACTCTAACCAAGTTTCACAGATGTAGTCCCACAGACAAAATGGAAGAAGATCAGATTTGCTGGGCCCACTACTCAACACCCATGTCAATGGGATAAGGTATGATGGGACGGAATCATTAATAAGATAAGCAATTTTGGATGGGTGCGGTGGTTCACGCCTGTGATCCCAGCACTTTGGGAGGCTTGAGGCAGGTGAATCACTTGAGGTCAGGAGCTCAAGACCAGCCTGGACAACATGGCAAAACCCTGTCTCTACTAAAAATACAAAATTATTAGCCGGGCATGGTGGCACACACCTATAATCCCAGCTACTCGGGAGGTTGACGTATGAGAATCATTTGAACCCAGGAGGCTGGGGTTGCAGTGAGCTGAGATCACGCCACGGCACTCCAGCCTGGGTGATGGAGTGAGACTGTCTCAAAAAATAAGAAGACAAGTAATTTTAGGGGGAAAAAAAACAACTAGTACACACAGAACTGAATATATAAATGCTTTGGTTCCATCCCATCTAAAATTGTATTTTTCTTAATATATAATAACAAAATATATATATGTTAATAATAATAATATATATATTCTTAATATATAATATTAGCTTCAGGATATAAAACTGATATTATAAGTTGAAGGATTGAGCCAACTCTCTACCTTCACTAACATACTGGTCACAATTCTTGTTTCACTTTTAGAGGTTTTCCTCAAATAGTCTTCTAATTAGGAGGGTCTGACACACAAGGTATACAGAGTGCTGAGTGGTAAAACGCAACCACTTACTTTGCCCAAATTTCATATCTGTTTCTTTGATGGATCAAAGGGATTTCCCTACAAACAGAGTAATTCATTTAGAATACCTACAAGGGTAACTACAACCACATGAATTTATTTTCCATTTTTATAGTTCGGAGCCCTTTCCCTCCTCCACAGCACTCCTCTATTGTTACTCGTGCTTCACACACTCTAGTTCAGGAAGCCACAGGGAGGGTAATCAACCTCATCTGCTAAAAAGGAAAAGAGAAGGAAGGAGTTGAAGGAACACTCATCTTCCACTGAGTGATATGCGAAGATGATATAGTATAAATTTACGTTCTCAACTACAAATGTTTTAAAGTGATTAAATGAACTGAGAGTGGCAACAGAAATCTAGCACCAGCTTCAACAGTTAGAAAGGAGACTTTCCGAAGTTTGTGATTCTACTGCAAAACCTTTAAAGAATATGTGTCTGAATGCCTTCTATTTATCTTGCATGGGGTTTGATTATACCCAGGCACCTTCATGGTTCTAATCAATAAATCATTCCAACTCCAATACTTCTGATTTAAGAGTGAGTTTAGGTTAATATAAATTGGAGGTCTCGGACCAGTGAAGGCCTCTGGGTCTTTATATTTGCTGTTCTCTTTGCATGAACTGTCATCCCTTGCTCCCTGCCCCTTTACCTGGTTAAACTGTACTCACCCTTATATCTCAGCTTAAATATCATTTTGTCTAGGATACTTTTCCTAACCTCTGGGATCAGATTGGGTTCCCCTGAAGACTCATCTCAAGCATTCTGTACCTTCTTATCATTATGCTTATAGCTGTTTATTGCTTAATTGTCTGAATTGCCAGCTAGGCTGAAAGCTCTGTGAGGGCAGGACAGTATTTGTTTCATAATCAGTGTCCTGGCACATAAGAGATGCTTAATAAATATTTGTTGAATAAACAAAAGGAAAGCAAAATATTAATGAAAATTATGAAGCCTTAAATAGGGTTCATGAGCTTAAGACAAGAAAAAGCCAATGAAGACATTTTTACCTGAGCATTCGGTGTAGTTTATGAGGTGTCATCCCACATCCATCATCGGTAAAGGTCAAACAAGATTTATTCTTGACCTCCTCAACATCTATAAAGACCGTCCTGGCAGATACATCTGGATCTACAGCATTATCTGCAAAAGGTAAAAATCTGTGATATTAGATCCCCTTTTCCAATATTGTATCAAAATCTCTAGTTCAGTGACTCCAAGACATAGAAAATGTCCTTTCCCTCCCTCATTTGGATGTTCGAGAAGGTATCAGGGAGCATTAATGGTAGTGCACTTACTAAATTACAGAGAACAAAAGAGATGATGGCAGATTGAGTTCTAAAGCTGATTTCCAGATTTCACATGAGCGATCTGCAATCTGCCTTTCCACTTCAAACTTCAGGGTCTTTGGAAAAAAGTATTAATAACTACTCCCATATAAAATGCATTTTGCTCCATTTTTGTCTTATTACTTCTTCTTGCCTTTTAGCCCCTTTATTGTTTATATACACATACAGTAAAGAGTGGTTACGGAGAAAAGCTGAATGAGCAATTTTGGTAAAAGTTGATGCATATTACACACATTGCAGTTTATTTGTGATCATTTTATTTTCTTCTTTCTTACATCACCTCCTCTGTTAAAGAACACAGATAGTACTGCCATTCCTGTTTATAGCCTAAGAGGCACTGAAAGGGTTAGAGTTTAAAACCAAAAGCCTTAATTGCCTGCCTAGATCTCAGTGATGGTAGCAAGCATACTTAAAAGGAGTGATTTTTGCTTCGGTATTTTGTAATAGTTTTAAAGGCAAGGCTGTCCATCCTCTCAGGAAATGTAGAACATAGAATCAAAGTAGAAAAAATACATAGGTTCACGATTCCTCCTGATTTATGTCTTCACAATGAGTTAATTATTTAAGACTCCAGGCCAGGCGTGGTAGCTCACACCTGTAATCCCAGCACTTTGGGAGGCCAAGGTGGGCGGATCACAAGGTCAAGAGATCAAGACCATCCTGGCTAACACGGTGAAACTCCGTCTCTACTAAAAATACAAAAATTTAGCCAGGCATGGTGGCAGGAGCCTGTAGTCCCAGCTACTCGGGAGGCTGAGGCAGGAGAACGGCGTGAACCTGGGAGGCAGAGCTGGCAGTGAGCCGAGATCGCGCCACGGCACTCTAACCTGGGCAACAGAGTGAGACTTCATCTCAAAAAAACAAACAAACAAACAAACAAAAGACTCCAAAGACATCAAAAATTGCCATAGTCTAACAATTGTGTCACATTCACAACCCCAGGGGTGCCACTGTCTAGTTGCCACATGTTTTTACCACAGGTACCAGTTTACATAATTGTCAATCACTGACAAATGTGGCTCACTAGCCACAACTGAGGGGCAGTTTATACAATCTGTTGGATAGGTTCCTTAATCGTTCCTGTCTCTACTAAGCTCTTTGAGCGAGACAGAGTCCTTGCCTTCCACCCTCTTCCCTTTCCCTGGTATCCTATACTGCTTTAGTGATACCAAAAAGCTAAGCTGAGACAGCCAGGTCAAGTCCTGGCCATATACTTGTTCCATTACCACTGATCAAATCATGTCATTTCTTCCCGGGAACACCCCTTACAATCAAGAGAAGTATTACAAACATGCAAAACACCCATTTTTTTAATAATACAATTAACAATATCAGTTACAGTCACTTGGATATGTGGAATGTTCATTAAATAAAACAAAATACAGATTAATTTCAAGGGCCACAATGGTATTGCCAGAGTCACTGATAAAACTGTCACTGACTGTAAGTGGAAAAAGTCTTAACAGCAGTAGGGCATCACCAATAGTCCCAGAAGGGGATTAAGAGGCCTGGTATAGTCAATCTTTTTTTTTTTTTTATTCACAAGGCCCTAAGGGAAAGTTTATTTCATATGAGTAGCAGCCACTTTTTTTTTTTTATTATTTTTTAAATTCACATAATAGTTGTACATATTTATAGAATACAATGTGATGTTTTGATACACTTATACAATGTGTAATGATCAAATCAGGATAATTAGCATATTCATTACCTCAAACATTTATCACTTCTTTTGTTGGGAATATTCAAAATCTATTCTTCTAGCTATTTGAAAATATACAGTTAATTGTTATTAATTATAGCCATTCTACAGTGCTATAAAACACTAGAACTTATTTCTTTTATCTTAGTTGTAATTCTGTAGTCATTAACCAACCTCTAGCTATACCCCCTCCCACCCTTCCCAGCCTTTAGTAACTACTATTCCACTCTCTACTTCTAAGCTTATTGCAATAACCTCCTAACTACCTTTTTTTTTTTTTTTTTTTTTGAGGTGGAATCTGGCTCTGTCGCCCAGGCTGGAGTGCAGTGGTGCAATCTCGGCTCACTGCAAGCTCCACCTCCCGGGTTCATGCCATTCTCCTGCCTCAGCCTCCCGAGTAGCTGGGACTACAGGTGCCCGCCACCACGCCTGGCTAATATTTTGTATTTTCAGTAGAGAGGGGGTTTCACCGTGTTAGCCAGGATGGTCTTGATCTCCTGACTCTGTGATCCGCCTGCCTCGGCCTCCCAAAGTGCTGGGATTACAGACGTGAGCCACCGCGCCCGGCCCTAACTACTCTTATAAATCCATATATCTCCCTTTCAATTTTATACACTGCTGAAGATTAACTTTCCTGAAGCACAGCTCTGATCATGACATTCCTCTGCTCAGAAAACTTCAGGCTAAAAAGCCAAACACCGGAGCCTTCCAGTCAAAACCTGATCCCAGATGACCTTTTTAACCTCATTCCCTACTGGGTATTTCCAGTAAAAAGACCTGTGTTTGCATCCTGGATCTGCTACTTAGTACTTTTTCAGTTTCCACATAGAAGTTAGAACATTCCACTCAGTTTGCCTTCTGTGCCTGGCTTATTTCATTTAACATAATGTCCTTCAAGTTTATCCATGTTGCTGCAAATGACAATATTTCCTTCTTTTTATGGCTAAGCAGTATTCCATTGTGTCTATATACCACACTTTCTTTATCCATTCTTCTGTTGATGGATGATATAGTCAAGCTTTAAGGACCAGGTGGGGGGCCTAGGGCCCATATAATGTGGCAAGACAAGTGGGCTAAGTTTTGGCAGGAGTTACAAGTCTGTCATGTAATGGCGGCTTTATCAGAAATGTAGTTCTTTACTTTGTAAGAGGCAGCAATATTTTTCTTTAACTGACTAAAGGATTCAGCATTACTTAGCTGCCTACACTGTTTCAAGAACCTTTACTCGGCAAGCAGGCCATGAATTGTGTTGGGACTGATCAGACACTCCTGCTGGCAGACAACCAAAGGCACTGTGACTGATGATACAACTTGCCAATCAACTGGACATCATTTATACACTGAAAACTCTGGACATAGAGGGATTTTTTTCTAACAATTTGTGAACATTCACGATTCAAACACGTAACACCTATCTACTGCAACTACATGTTTACCCAACAGTGCATTCAACGAATCAGCTCAAAGGCCTCTCACAATATCACCTCAATTCTTTTCCTCTTTACTGCAATTTTGCCCAAACTTTACTAGGTACCTTTTTTTTTTTTTTTTTTTTTTTTTTTTTTTTTACAGGAACACACCAAATGGTTTTAACACAGGCACTTCAGGAGTTACAAGGCAGCTGCCAGGAGCAGCTCAACATTTTATCTCCTTGGCTGAAAGCTCATGGAATACAAGGGGGAGGGGGCATGCAAGAGGCCAGGGTCAGCTGGAGCAGTAGGGAAAGAGAGATCAGTAGAGAGGCACCAGCAAGCACGGTTTTGTACTTACTTTCAGTTTTACATGGCCTTTCATTCGGTCTCAGCAAATGAAATTACAATAATAACAAGGCTGGCCTCAATAAATGAACTTATGATAACAAGGCACCGATCTGGAGGCTGGTTTCAATCCTACTTCTTGCTGCTTAACCCTCCAAACATTTACTAATACATGGCAAATGCTATTGGATCCCAGAAAATCTATCTTCTCTCCTAACCCGGACCATCCAGCCAATGAACAGGTAGCGCAATGAAAGAACCCTTACTCCTCTCTCCCTGCCCACCAGTTAGGTGAGAATTGTGCTATCAGATGCTGGGGTGTCTTCATTCCCTAACCTGGCCACACAATCCCATGTGCTACCAAATCACAAGGAGTTTTCTCTCTGCTAACTTAGCTCGTGCTATCCCTTGGTGGGAGGACCCCATCTCTACCTTCCCCTTGCTCTCGTGTCTCATCAGAATCTAGGAGGCAATGAGAAACTATTCCATGATAGCCTCCCAGGAGAGATAAGATGGCAAGTGGGAGATGGCTTTGAGGTAGTGCTTCACAAGCCTCTCATCCTTTTCTGTTTCATAGCATCACAAGGCTCCCATCCTCCCCTGTTCCAGAAGGATGGCCTACAGGTGGCTACATGAAAGATTGCCAAGGGTGGAGCTACTGTCCTACAGAAATCCTACAGGTATCTAAAAGTATTCCTGCCTAAAGGTAAAGTTATCACCTTTTGTCACAAGCCTATTCCAAACACACACAAGGTTAGCACTGAAGAGACCACAAATTTGAAATTTAAGTACTTTTCTTATCCCTCCCTCTCCTTTACCCTATACATCCCTAGACTCTCTCATATCCTATTTACTCTATTTCCATTGTCAGTCTCTTATAGAGTTTATTTCCCCTCATCTGGATTATTGCAATAACCTCCTAACTAGTCATATAAGTCTGAATCTCTCTCTCCTTCATTTTTATACACTGCTGCAAGATTGACTTTCCTGATACACAGCTCTGATCATGACATTCCCCTGCTCAGAAAACTTCAGGCTAAAAAGCAAAATACTGAAGCCTCCCAGTCACATCCTGATTCCAGATAACCTTTATAACCTCATCCTTACTTAGTATCTGGAGTAAAAAGGCCTGTGTTTGAGTCCTGGATCTGCTATTTAGTATACACGTAACCTTGGAAAAGTCAATTAAATTTTCTGAACCTCTTTTTCTTCATCTGCAGGATGAAAGTAAATGTTTACCTCAAAGGGTAATGTTAAAAAGTTATTTGTGAAAGCTGTTTGTAAACTTTTTAAGTACCTATCGTTTTTACTATTTGTGAACCCCATGCTCTAATTAAACTCCACTAAATATTCTTCATGCCTTTGTTCAAGCAGTTGTTCCTTTTGCCTGGAATTCCTCCCCACCCATATCCACATGTCCCAATCCTTCAAATCTCAGTTTAAATGTCACCTCCTCTACAAAGCATTTCCTAACCTTCCTCTTCCTGATAAACTGGAAGCCATTCCTCCTTCCTCTGAACTCCCACAGCACTTGTTTTTATCTTTGTTTATATATCGTTTTCTATTTTGTTGTTATACAAAGCATAAACCTTCTGTACATGTTTTATCTCCCCTACTAGAAGAGTGAATCTGTGTTATATTCATTTTTGTGCCTACCACAGTGGCCTTGCACACAGTGGGTGCTCAATAAATATTTACCAAATGAATGATTCACTAGAAAATTAATGCCTAAGTGGATAAAATGATTGAAGGAAAACCCAAAATGAAAGCTTTGGATTGCCAGTTAACACTTCGCTCTCTCTTTTCCCTATTGCTAATATTTTCACAAATAGTTGTTATTTGGTCTTAAAATCTGTGTTTGTATACATGTATGCATGCATGTGTGTGCATAATACATACACATATTTGCTCTCATACTGGACATCTTAGATCTGACTTAGGTTCTTTAAGGTAATGCTTACGGCCAAAATCACAAATATTCAAAATTACAAATTTAAAACTCATTAAATCACCTGGAAAGTACAGTAAGCATAGCACAGGTATATCACATTCTGCACCGTGCCAACCATGAGAGAACAATACATTTCGGTTTCCCATTCCCCACTATGTAAATCATTATTTTTTGCTCCCTTGCAGTCTTTCTTGCAAATTACATACTTAACTTGGATTGTATTCCATTCTGCAGAGGTTCAGTGCACAGCCCCAAGGCACAGTACCAAACCTCAAAGATACAGTCCCTCTGCTCTAGGGTTCCAAACGTATCAATTCCACTTTTTGCCTTTCACCTTCTAATTAAATTATACATATTGTAAAGCATTCCGTGTTAAGGTTAATCATCAAAGGTCTCTATCATTCTTATCAACCTTCCAACTAAGTCTCCTGCTACCCATTGACTTCTTACCCAAGATAACTCTCATGACATGGCCACAGCGATTGCTTAAGAGACTGGGGTTCATTTGGGGAGCTTTGAAAACATTTTCAAGAGTTTGTTCTGTGCAACCTTGTCCATAAATACTTCTTCCTTCTTTCGATTTTCAAAGCATGTATAATGCGCCCTGTATGGTGCTGCATTTTGTGCAAGACTGTAGTTCTTCTTTGCTTTCCACACAGTAGCACACTACTGCAAAAATTGGTGTACTTAGCTTGAAGGGATCAACTGAAAACACTTGAAAAGCAAACACCGGTGGAGCGAGAGGTTAAGTACTCAATATTCATTCCAGCGGTGTGAGGGCGCTCGTGGACCACGGACCCAGCCCTCCGCAGTAGCAGGGAGCCAAATGCACTCGTGTCATCTCTTAAGAGATGTCCCATCATTCCTAACTTTCTTGTCTCAAAAGTTAAGGAACTCCGCTTTCCAGACCTTTCCCCAGGACCCGCCTCGGTCCTCTACAACGCCCCTTTGCTAGCTGGGCATCCTCCGTCGGTCGCCAGCCGCTGCTGAGCCCAGCTGCCTCGGGGCCTGAGGTTTTTATGCATCTCCTTTTGACTACTAACTAAGCTATCCTAAAGTGCCCGAACATCACGAGCGCGAGAAAAAACATACTGGTGTCTTTAACGCTTCGGACACACCTCGTTTCCTCCGTTTTATGAGCGGAACCCAGTTCCTGGGAGAGAGCCATCCCCCTCCTCCGCCTGCAGAGCCGGGGCCGGTTCCGAGGCCCCCACCCCAGCCCCGGCCCGCCCCGCGCGGCTCTGCGCATTCCTCTCGCGTCCGCGGCACCACGCTGGCACCACTGCCTCGGGCGAACACTGCCGGGCCCGCCCTCGCCACTCACCTAGCAGCTCCGCGATGGCACTGAAGGGTCGCGTGTGGCTGCTGGAGTTGCTCTGGAGGTAGCGGGGGCTCATCTGGGGGCGAGAGAAGGTCCCGTCCCGCGTGAGGCCTCGGCCCGCCGGGCCCTCCCCGCGCGCCCCCCGCGCGCCCCCCGCAGCCCAGGGTCCCGCGCGCGCGTCCGCCCCCTCGGGCCCCGGACCTACCGTGCTCAGGCGGATCCCGAAGGCCTGCGGGCCGCCGCCGGGCCGGGCCAGCCCGCAGCCCGGCGCGCCAGGACCGGCGGGGGCCCCTCGGTACAGGAGCATTTTTTTGGCCGCCAGGGTACCCGTCTGCTGCCGCCGGACCCCTGGCCCGGCGGTCCAGGACTAGCCCTTGCTCACTCCCACTCGCAGCTGGCGGCGACCGTCCGGGACCGGCCCTCCCTGGCTCCCACTCGCAGCTGGCGGAGGCGGGGCGCGCTCCAGCCACCTGTCCCGGGCGGGAGGAGTGAGGCCGGCTGAGCCAAGCGGCGGCTCCGCCCTGTCAGCACCTCTACCGACCCGGCGACTGCTCGGGCTGCCTCTGGGCCGTACAGAAATATGGCGACCTCCTGACAGCCGCTCCTTGATCCCCGCCCCTAATTAATTCTTGGCGTTTGCCATAGGCCAGGCCGCCGAGCGGGAAAGAGCGGGGGCCGAGGGGAGGGCGCGTGGGGAGGGGCGTGAATGAAGCAAGAGGAGGGAGAGCATGTATGGGATTTCTGGAACCTAGTCCCGCTTAAGCTGCATGACTAACAGGCAAGATAAGACAAGTCTTTCAAGTTCTAAAGACTACAGTGTTGCTATCTGGGAAGATAGCAAGCTCGCCTGATGGGAAAACATTCTACCTACTCTGCCTCAAATGCCTCCAGAAGCACCCAGAACTTTCTGGAAGGCATTTAGCAAACTATCTCCAAAGTCTTGCTAGAATGCAGGGACGGTGTTTCTAAAAGGAGAAATTTGATTCACTTAAATACCGCCAAGTAGGGGATTGGTCGAGTTATGAAGTATGCATAAAATGAAATGCCGTGCAGTTCTTAAAGGCCATGTTTGTAGATAAGTATGTGTTTATGTAGAAAAATATTCATGAAGGAATGAAGAAAACAAGGAGTTACAACATATTGTGGAACGCATGATGCCTTTTCTATTGCAAAAACAAGTATATGTGTATGCATATATACATATAAATGCATACATACACACATATACACACATACACGCAACAAAAACCACTTGATATACAGCAAGATGATATCTCTGGGTCTTGAACTAGACACTTTTTCCTTTTTTCTTACCTGTATTTTCTAATGTACTATAAATATACCCTGATAATAGAAAAATAGATTCGTTAAAAATATATGAAACATTCTATGGCATGAATGAAGTATAATTTATTTGACTATTCCTTTATGGTAATTTAGGTTGTCCTCTTTTATTAATTTTGACAATACAAAAAATGCTCCTTCACACACTCATGTACAGGTCATTAATTTCTGATACTGTTATCTCCACAGAATGAATTCCAAAAGATGAGATTGCTGCATCTAATAGCATGTGCATGGTTTAATCTTAATAAATGCTGTAAGATAGGCAATTTGCCCTCCCAGCAACAATTGGCGCTATTTTGCCATGTTCATAGCACTAGATGGTCCCAATCTTTTAACTTTTTGACAGTCTTTTCAATAAAAAATAGTATCTCCTTATTGTTTTAATTTGCATTTTCCTGACTACCAGTAAGGTTGAATATCTTTTCAAATGTTTAGTATACATTTGCATCTCCTCTTCTATAAATGTCTGTTTATGCCTTGGAGCATCATTTTTTACCCCCACTGGGTGCTTTACATCTGTCTATTTTTTAGTTATCTTTTCTTCAAATTTTTAAAATACACAAAAGTACAGAAAACAATATAATGAATCCCATGTATTTATTACTCAGATGCAGTAATTATCAAGACTGCCACACCTGCTGCAATGGACTGAACATTTGTGCTCCCCAAAATTCGTATGTTGAAATCCTAACTCCCAATATGATGGTATTAGGTATTAGGATTAGGAGTTGGGGCCTTTGCCAAGTAATTAGGTCATGAGGGTGGAACCCTCATGATGGGATTAGTGCCTCATAAAAAGGACCCCAGAGAGCCCTCTCACCCTCTTCCACGAGGACTCAAGAAAGGGTCTGAATTCTGCAACCCAGAAGAGGGACCCTACCAGAACCTGACCATCTGCTGTTAATACGCAACCTAGTCTATGGTACTTTGTTAACAGCAGCCAGATCTGACTAAGGCACTTGTTTTCTATATCCCTTTTCTTCTTCTTCTTTTTCATTTCTGTAAGCTGTGAGCATTTCAGGGCAAATCTCAAACATCATGCCATTTTATTTTATATACTTCAGTGTTCTTTAAAAACATGTACATTTTCTAACAAACATAACCACCATGCCACTTTTATACCAAACAAAATTTATACTAATTCTTTGTTATCTTCTAATACCCAGTCTTTTTTTTTTGAGACAGGGTCTCGCTCTGTCACCCAGGCTTTAGTGCAGTGGTACGATCTTGGCTCACTGCAGCCTTGACCTCCTGGGATTAAGCAATTCTCCCAACTCAGCCTCCTTAGTAGCTGGGACTACAGGCATACACCATCACACCCAGGTCATTTTTTTACTTTTTATATTTTCTAGATATGGGGTTTTGCCACGTTGCCCAGGCTGGTCTCAAGCTCCTGGGCTCATGCAATCCACCTGATTTGGCCTCCCAAAGTGCTGGGATTACAGGCGCAAGCCACTTTGCTTGGCGCAGTCCATATTCTGATTTCCCCCAATTGTCTCAGAAATGTCTACTTACAGTTGGTTTGTTGAAATCTAGACTCCAAGTGCACACATTGCACATGGTTGTGTGTCTTAAATCCATTTTAATCTAAAAGTCTCCCCTCTTTTTTTTATTCATGCTATTGATTTTTCTTTTTTTTTTGGTAGAGATGGGTTCTCCCCACGTTGCCCAGGCTGCTCTCGGACTCCTGGGCTCAAATGATCCTCCCACCTCGGCCCCCCAAAGTGCTGGGATTACACGTGTGAGCCATCGTACCCAACCCCTTGAGTTGTTAAACAAACTGAGACAGTTGGACTGTTGAATACCCTACATTTTCATTTGTCTTGCTTCTTCATGTTACTTAACTTGCTCCTCTTGTTACAGGAAAAAGTGTAACTTAACTATAAACCATAAATTGTCTCTAGAGTCTTAGAGTCTAGTACAATGTTTTCTAAATAGGAATGCTCATAGATGGTGCTATATAGTTCCCATTGCATCACATCAGGAAATACATACTGTGCAACACTTAGACATGTTCAGATTCATCATTGACTTCAGGGAGAGGCAGCCTGAAGCTTCCACTATAAATTTCTCCACCAACCTTTTACTTTATGGTTTCATTGTCTGAAAAACATATGTTATTAGGACTGTAAAATTATGATAGTCAATCTCATAATTTCTTCTAATTTATTAACTGGATCATTCTGTATAGAACTTACCCTCATCAACCATGGCTATTTGGTTCATCTGAAATACAATTTATATAGGAAGGACATGATAAATGCTTAACTCTTTACATTTAATTGGCAATTTTTAATGTAAAGAGATGACATCTGTGATGGATACTGTGATGTGTCAGCCCACCTCTCATTTCAATAAAAGACTTGTTGACTGAGCTGCTAGGAGAAATGTTGACAGACTGCCTTCAGCTGTTAGCCCTTCAGGGATTGCTTCAGGTAATCTCTGTTTACCCAAGGTCATAAACTTTTCTGGGGCAGCCTGCAGTAACTGATCAAAGAGGGGGTATAAAGACCTGACTGTCTCAACCCAATTTGGGACAACTGGGAAGGGTCATTCTAACTCCAAATCTCTCTGTGGGGTTGGCTCTCTGCTGTTGAACCTGCATTGTAGCTCAGTGTTCCCCTCTGCCCACACCTACTTCATTGCACAGATCCTAATCTAAGAATACCTCTTAATAAGCACCCTGCACAGAAAGCTCTTTCTTGGAATCTGCCTCCTGGGGAACTCAAACTGTAACACTTGAAATTGGGAGTGATCCAAGAAAGTTGGGACTATGATGATATTTGGTAAAAGGTGAAAGATTTATATGATCTGAAGAGAAACCAGAGCATTTGAATGATATTTGGGAGCTAAATCACTTACTGCCCTGTTGGCAATAAGGACCATATCACAGAGTGGATGGAGTACAGATAGCCCCCTGCCACAAGGCAGCAGTCCTATTATTGTTAAAACTTCCACCAGGTGGTGAATTGGAATGGTTAAAGGGAACGTATAATCTTCTGTGATGTTTCAAGTGTTTGAGAAATATAGAGGAAGTAGTAGCTATAAGACCAATGGAAAGGCAAGGTAGGAGGATCACTTGAGCCTAGGAGTTCAAGGCTGCAGTGAGTTATGATCATGCCACTGTACTCCAGCCTGAGCAACAGAGCGAGTCCCTGACTCTGAAACAAAGCAAAACAACAACAAAAAGAACCAATGGAATTTAGTGGTATTGAGCTCTAAAAAGGAGTAAACTCCCAATGGAGAAATAGAGACACATTTGCTATGTCAAAATCAGGATGCTGCCCGGGAAAGAATGAGACCCTGACACATGGTTTGGGGCTATCTAGATTGATGCTACCAAAATCTTGAATCCTTAGATTTCCCTGAACCAGCTGAGCCCATAGAACTGGTGCAATTTCCCTATTGGTAGTACCCACGCCCGCCCCATCCTCTTGCTTGCAGACATGCAAAGCTTCTCCCCAACAAGACAACATGTGCTTTCCCCTCCCCTCGTTGCCATTAGGCCTATAACAAGGGCTAAGGCACAGCGTGGACGTGTGAGACCTGATCAAGGAGAAGGGCGATTGTACATCAAGAAGCTGCAAGATACCCAGCATGGATCGGCAGGAACTGGAAGGGTTCACATGGAATTGAATTCTGAGACTGCTTGATCAAGAGAGCTAGACTATAAGGTGGGACAACAGGCAGTTTATCAATTTTGGAGCACTACTCTGGAATACAGGATTTAACGCTCTGGAAAGGACCACATGAGGTAAAGCAGTCTCACAATTAGATGACCCCTTGAAATACACAAAAAGTGATGACCCATGCTAAGTGAGGTTGAAATGCCAGCATTGCTGTGATAGTAGTAGAAGAAAGGATGAAAAGATTCAGAAGTGAGCCTACTATAGTGGATAGATCAAACAAGCCTGGAAAACTCAAACAGAAAAACCCAGGATACACCATTTATCAAGGCGATAAGGAATGTGCTAGCAAGAAGGGCACCAGCACCACTGAGAAATTCACTGGTGGCTCTCTCTGTAGGTTAGGCTTGATGGTGGAGAGACCCTTCCAACTACGTTCATTATAGCAGGACTCTGAAATGGTAGAGATCCTATGGCTGAGTTCACTATCTAAAGTCAGGTAGGGGCATGATCATAATGAGTGGCAAGATTGAAGGAGCAGCCAGAGGAGACTGAAGTACAGTTATGGAAATGGTAAATAGAATATGGCCTCCCTAGGGGAAAA